TGTCTCAGGAGGTAGGCTGAGATCTGGGCGGCGGGCGGCTCACTCGTAGGGCGGCAGGCCGAAGAGCTCGGGTCGGAAGTCCTGCAGAGAACTGAGCAGTACGGTGGCCTTGCTGGTCAGATCTCGGCTCAGGTTCGCGTCCGGCACCATGACCACCTGCATGCCGGCCGCCAGAGCGGCTTCCACCCCGTTGGGTGCATCTTCAAACACGAGGCACTGCAGGCGGGCGGGGCGAGAGGGAGACAAAGGGAAAAGGGGCTTTAAGGTCACCAGATATCCAGACTATTTCTGTCACCAGTACCATCGGCTCTGTGACCCTACGAACGGCAGGCCTTCACCAGGTTCCCTGTGCTAATTTAGGGGGGCAGGCTCCAGAGCCTGGGGGGAGAACACCCAGCCCTTCACTAGGTTCCCTCAGTTCCCAGCAACCATACAGGTGTAAAGGCCTCTAGGCCTGTGGTGGGAACATTGCTCTCTCCCCTCGGTTTGCCGGCTAGAGGACCAGGCTCGTGGGCCCAAGGCATCCGGCAAAGGGCTGAAGCAAGAGCAGCTGTGTGTCTCCGCTGAAAACTGCATTTGATTCAAATCTCAACAGTCTGATCAGGAAACGAACACTCAGGAGCAGGCAAGCAAACTGTCAATCACACACACACACACACGTAGTTCAGTGCCATTGAGTTTGTTCTGATCCATAGCGACCTTGGATAGGGTTTCTGAGGAGCAGCTGGTGAGCAGTCTGAAGCATTAAACCGCAACGCCACACCAAGACTCTGTGTATAAACATATATATATTTGTTATTAAGTGCTGACGAGTCAGTTCCCACTCACAGTGACCCTGTATAGTTTTTCTGAGGAGCAGTTGGTGGGTATGAACTACCGACCTTGTGTTTCACAGTCCAAGGCTTATCCTACAATGTCACGCCAGGAGTCCATATATGTATTTTTAGTATGTATTATTTTTAATCTTGCTATTTTACATGTAAAAGAACTTAGACGCTGTGAATGTCTCATATACTGTCACGTAAAAACGGGTCAATTTGGGCCTTTAGGTTTCTGGGTGTAGCCAGAGCAACCAACAGAGCCCTAAGCTAGGTGTGTCACGCCTTGTTCCACGGAACCAGGGTCACCAGCAAAGGCACGGAACACGTGCCACGAGGGAAACCTGGGAGAGTCGGAACTCAACGGGATGCCCTTGTTTTTCTGCCTTTGACAGGGTACAACTTAACACCTTTATTTTCCTATTATTAAAATGTTTTATTGTGCTTTAGGTGAAGCTTCAGAGAGCAAATTAGGGTCCTGTTGGAGAGTGGGTACACAGTGTTCTCAGATACTGGGTGCCAGCCCCACAATGCATCAGCACACTCCTCTGCTTTGGGGCTGGATCTTATTTATGGGGTGCTCTGGGGCACACGTAGCTCTCGGGTGGAGGTGTGGGTCTGATGGGGTGCGTGTGACTGGATATCTGTTTTCCGTATCTGGCAAGTTTCCACCTTACACAGGTTCTAGCTTTGCCAGGATTTACTGTACTGGGAGTCCTGGGACCCTCATCCTGAAGCACATGTTGAAAACACGGTGTTTGCACACTGCGTAAATCAGCGAGCTACAAAACGTCCCATGGCACGACCAACCCTGCAACACACATCCGCCAACGCACACTCCTGGTGGTCGGCTCCATTAGCAAACAACAGGGAGCGCTGAGAGTGGGTTCTCCACCTAGAAAATGCCTGGGCTACGTAAACAACGACATCAGGACTGGAGGTAGGCCCATTAACAATCTGCGATCTGCGGATGACACAACCTTGCTTACTGGACCGATAAATAACACCACGATACATGGCGGAAAGACAGCAGTGAAGGCTCTCATCTTTACAACCAATACCCATAGAAGCAGCGGTCAATGAACAACTGATGGATTGCACTGGGCAAATCTGCTGCGAAAACATCTTTCAAGAGCAAAGATCAAAGATGTCACATTGAAGATTAAGGTGTGTGTAAGCCAACATAAGGTTATTTTTAATTGCCTCATATACAATGGGGGCTTCTTTAAATTTGTGGAAGAGTGTGTTACCTTTTAAGTGAAACTTTCGAAAGCTCTTGTACATGAAAATGCTGTAAGTTAATAGGGAAGGATGAACAAGGATTGGGCCACTATACTGGTGGTGTGGGAGGAAAAATGTGAAAGTACCAAAGACTGCCAGAGAACAAATAAGTCTATCTTAGAGGTACAACCTAAATGCCCCTTAGATTCCGGGGTGGCGAGACTTCGTCTCTCGTACTTTGGACACGTTGTCAGGAGGAAGGAATCCCTGGAGAAGGACATCATGTTGGACAAGTGGACACTCATTGAACAAGAGGAAGATCCTCAGCAAGATGAACTTGTGTTGTTGGACCCCACTTGACGGTACATAACAACAAGAAATTCTCATGTGTTCTTGGCAGGACGAAACGCTCACATGAGTTGAGGCTTAGTTACTGTTTTCCGTTAGGTGAGCACGGCGGACCGGCGGTGGGGGCATGACGGAAGCACCCAAAAATGTGCAACACCCTCAATGGCCACCTGCTCTCCACATAGGACCAGAACTTCCCGGTGCGATCAATAGTACCGAGCATGAGGACAAGGGGGACCTGGACCTTCCTGGTTTGGTCAGCAGCTGAGCGTGATCAGCACCAGGGACTCCCAGAGAAACCACTGGAAGAGGTAGAGTCCAGGCTGGGAACTGGTTCAGAACAGCCAGACCTGGACATTGGGAAGCAAACCAACTGCTTTCCAGTGTACTCCCACTGATAGCTGTCCCTCAGGACAGATGTCACCCTGGGGAAGGACAGCAGTCCCTCAGGACAGAACTCACCCCAGGGACCCCAAGGCTGCCATCTTGATGGAAGTGGACCGCTAGACGTGTCTTCCTCGGAGTCCCTGGTGGGTTCAAACCCCTGACCTTTTGGAAAGAAGTCCAGTGCTTAACCACAGTGCTACCAGAGCTCCCAAGAAACAGGATGCATAAACCTGCCGTATTTGAGTCAACTGCAACTCTTCCCTGAGCCCGTGTAACAGAGAAAGCTGCTTCCAAGGCTATCATCTTTAAGGGAGCAAACTGCCATATCTTTCACCTTTGGAGCAGCTGGTAGGTTTGAACTGTCAACCTTTCAGTTACCAGCCCAATGCTTAACTGCTGTGACACCAGGGCTATGTCAGTACACTTTCGGGAGATACAAAGCAAAGTTTTCAGGAAAAATCCAACAAGAATGGACATGTGGCCTGGATTCCTCCAAACTCAAGCTGCAGTGAGCCAGTGCACAATCCGGGGTCCCATCAGTGTCCAGCAGCAGCCCCACGCCACCCCACCTCACTGTGTGCACGTCACCGCAGGTCTCTCCAAAGGAAGTCACCCTTCGGAGCAGCGAGCAGAGCTCAGTTCCGAAGATGGAGGTGTGCACAGTCCATCAGGAAGATGGGAAGCTAACAGGCCCGTGGGTTGCAGGTGGGACAGGAGAGAATCTTGTAGGAAAACTGGACACCAGAGTAGGAACAACAGGAGGGGTTGGCCTGTGGGAACCCAGAGACGCTATACCCTCAGAGCAGGCAGGCCCTGGAGTACCACAGCCACACGCAGAAGCAAACACAGAGCCCAGGCGCCCATCCTGCTATGAACGCGTGCTTTGACGGCCGGCCACCTGTGGGACTCGGCTCGGGGCACTCCACAACATCCAGACTTGGAGGTTTCTGTGTGTGCTTCTTCCTTGGCATTGCAGAATGATAAAACAGCGTAGCTAACGTAGTTTGAAACCTCTATACAAATGTCTCCGGAGGTTTGTATGTCTTTGATACACTACACGGATTGATTCCAAGACTCATTTAACTTTGAATCTAAACCCCAGACAAGTAAGCTGTTCCTACCAGTCGATACCTTTGACAAAGCCTCTCAGCCAGGCTGGTATTGCTACTGCACACAGACAAGTCTCAGGGACCCCGCCCAGGATTCACAGAGTTTCTCAAGAGGCAGAGCTAGAAGCCAGATGGCCCCGGCCATCTCCGGGATGAGGTATTTCCAAGTCCATTCAAACAGCTTCTTCCTGGAACACCCGCTATAAACCACGTTTCACCCCGGTCAGATCACTTCCTTCTCCCTTTATTGTAAAAATCCAGTTCGGCCTTTTCTTTACATACCTTTCTGAGGACTCGTAGTGTGGGGTGGTAGGATAAGCACTGGACTGCTAACCGCAAGTTAGCAGCCACTCCTCGGAAATCCTATACAGGGTGTCTATGAGTGGGAACTGACTCAACAGCACTGAATTACAACCTCTCAAGGAGCTCTGGTAGCGTAGTGGTTACGAATCGGGCTGCGAACCTTAAGGTCAGCGGTTCGAAACTACCAGCCGCTCTGCGGGAGAAAGATGAGGCTTTCTACTCCCGTAAGGATTTACACCCTCGGAAACCCTGTACAGGGTTGCTATGGGTCGGAACCGACTCGACGGCACTTCACAACAACAACAACAACAGTGAAAACAGTTTCATCAGTCAGCTTGTCACCAATGCCCATGTCAGAAACGGACACTCAGTTATCACGAGGAACTGCTCCTCCACCTCACCCCCACCCCCACGCTAGCAGGGCGTTCTGGTGGTGTAGGGGCTAAGGGCTTGCTTAGCCGTTCATCACAATGCGGGCTGTTGGAGTCCACCAGCCACTCGGAAGGAGAACCATGTGCCAGGCCGCTTCAGTAATGATTTATAGCCTCGGAAACCCTCTGGGGCAGTTTGACTCTGCCTTCAGGGCCGCTATGAGCTGGGTGGGACTTAAGGACTAGACCATCCCTTCCCACCCTGCATGGATTCCACTAGGCCTCACAGGTCAAGTTGGAACCCGCGGAAAGCTTCTCCCTAAGGGCAGGGACATTCACAGAGGCAGGCAGGTTGGGGACTCTGCGGGAGCAGGGCGGCAGGATGGGCTGCTGTCCCGGACACATCAGGTAGGCAGGCAGTCAAGTGCGGAGCAGGGCTGGGGGCGGGCTGCTCATGTGCCTCACACAGGCTCTCCCGGAAACTCCCCAGCCCACCCTGCGAGTGTGAACACCTGCTGGCAGCTTCTCACACAGCACGGACTGTGGGCATTGCAGGACAGGGATATCTAGCCACAACAGTTGTCCTGGGGACTGTCGTCCATACCTGCCCTGACACTCACTGCCTGGGTGGTCAGCAGGGTGGCGTGGTCCCTAAAACC